ATTGCTGATGAATGTGGTATATGTTTTGTAATTTGGGCTTTTGCACCGCTGCCACCACAGATCGTTAGATAGGTTTTTTTTGTTTGTTTAATTACCTCCACTATTTACATTTGAGAACATTCTAATAGCTCGCGAAGACATAGCGACAAAGCTTAACAGTATTTTGTCGGAAAAAATCAATAACATAAAAACAACAAAATGATTAATTGAGACTGCATGATATAAATTTTAGAAAAATGACACCGATATTGCCTGCACACATTGTTCTGCCAAAAACGCAGATTGATTGCTGCATAAAAGGGTTCAAAGGGCATTCTTGGTGTCTTTTTCATATTCTTACCTTGGGGCTTTTGGCCTTAAATCAAAGATACACAACAGATGCCTTCGGGCTGTTAAAGCAGCTATCTATTGCTCTGAAAGATTGATGCATCTGAGAATTGTATCGGCGCCCCTGATGTCCTTACATTATCACAAATGGCCAAGTGTAAACATTTCCTTGCAAATGTCAGACACACCTTTATTTAGTGACGAGTCGGTGAATGAAAGAACAGCGAGTAGTTTTTTCTTATTGGTTCTTTCGGTAAAGTCACGTAGAAGGGAAATAATAAAATAATAAAAATAAAACATATAATCTGTCGGTAGACAGACCTGTTCTTCACCTGAGGACGGCTGCTTGCGTTGTGGCCGAAACGTCGTGAGAATTATTTTATTATATTTAATTTTTATTATATTATTATTTCCCTTCTACGTGACTTTACCGAAAGAACCAAGAAGATGAATCCCTGCAGTCACGAAAGCTTTAAAGCGAGTAGTTTGTTCAGACATCTGTGCCGATGAATGGGGTCCAAGCTACGGACCATGAAGCAAATCACCGTAGTCCTCCTTCAATGGAGGAGGGATTCTAAAACTTCGCAAACTCCTGAAACCTACTCGTGGCTACCAGACCTTGACATTGGCATTTGTCTCCTGACCAATTCGCCATGCGCACGAACAGAATAAGTGGGGTGTTCGCCAGCTACTCCGGAGTTCTGAGCACACACAGACATATTTCGTGAAGAATTGGCCAAACGTTTCCAAGCCGGATGCTCCTGGAAAAAGCATTGAGACTCTTTGACGGTTTCAGGTAAAGAAATGTGAATATCCATGTATCAATTGCAAACACCTCCCCGCCCCTTCCCACTCAGTTGGTTCGATGGTCGTGATCCAGGAGTGGGGGATGGGGGGGGGGGAGGAAGTCATAGTTCAAGTATAGTCTTTTGTTGGTCTCCTTTTTACTGTCCCATTTGTACAAGATGTGGTTTGCGTCATCTGTTCCATTACCCCATGAGTATTACTGGGATATAGCCCCCATGAATCATAAACGATCGTTCGTCACGCGCACGACTTGGTGCATGTATCATGTGTGTGAGGATCAATTTTAATTGATGAACTGATGCAAGCATAATTGTTTTCATATACAGCGAGTATGACTGGGGTAAATAAGTACAGCACTGATCGTATGCACTCCGTTAGGTACACGCTATATCCACTTTCCTTTATACTGGGCAGTTCTCCATTTTTGGAGACATATATTTCTGACACACTGAAGATGTGGGTAAGCATTAGCGTAATCATATATTGGATTTTTTGCCTGGGGATAGTACTTTATGTCAATCGCCCAGGACTGTAATTTACGCGAAAAAATATGTTTTTGCTTTTCTTGATAGGAGAGAAATGCTCGGAGGTCCTGATGCGGACTGGCTCTCTCGTCCACAATGGGAACTATGAAGGTGCTACGTTTAAAAACCTTTACAAAGGACACCACACATGAGTATCATTGGGATGATGTTGACATGGTTACTGTGAGGTTGCCTTATTTTGTAGAACTGCCCATATGGAGAGGATGATAAGCATAGGCCGCAAGCACAAAAATGGGAGTGACTTTTTTTTTGCTATTTCAGAAGCAATCCATAAGAGCTTCACCCGTGATCTGTCTTATGCCATTTAGTTCCAAACTTACGTTGCACTGTAGATGCATTCTAAGTGGCCGTTGTGCTCTTCATTGTTGTTCAATACCATTTCACATCTCAATGCCAACTTACTGCTGGACGAATGCCTTCCCACACAGTGTCAGCCACAGGGGGAGGTGTTTGACCATACCTCACCATAAATTTCGATTTAAAGCTTTCGTGACTGTAGGGATTCATCTTCTTGGTTCTTTCGGTAAAGTCACATAGAATTGAAACAATAAAATAATAAAAATAAAACATAATAAAATAATAAAAATAAAACATAATAAAATAATTCTCACGACGTTTCGGCCACAACGCAAGTAGTCGTCCTCAGGTGGAGAACAGGTCTGTGGGTTTGTCAAGGGATCCTAGTGCCAAGCAGCACGGCCGGTGATCAAACATCGGAGTCGCGGAGCGGTGAGGACCCCACCACTCCAGCCCCAATCAGCGCCCTGTCTAAACCGAGCGACGCTTGTGAGTGCCACTTCTCGATTGACGGAGGCGACGAGGCTGAATATCGCCACAACTAGTTGGGCAGACCAAGACCCGAAGCCCGCATCTTTCGCTTTTCAAGTTCCCAGAAGTGATCCTCGTCGTCATGTACACAGGAGCACTAATTGCGCGTGACGTGGTGCCTTTGCAGCTGGCGGCATTAAATAGCGACGCAGCGTGGTTGCAGTGTATACGGAATCAATGGCGTGCATGCCCAAGCAATCTCACAGGGAGCGTTCAAAGCTTCTGAAAACACAACATGGCCATCTGTTTAAGGAAAATAATTTTTCCTTTGCCAAAAAAACGGAGGCGTGCGCGTTACGGTGTCGGCTATGCGATGCATTTTAATCAGAGAGCCACGTGACGTTGAAATGAAGGTAAGGTTATGTGGCTCCTTGCCAGCTGAGGTTTCGTGTTTTTTTTCGTGTGCCATTAAACATAGTGCTTAGCCCCTGTCGAAGGCACAGAAACCCGGACCCTGAATTTCCTTGGAATGCTCTACGATTAACAAAAAGAGCTATTTTGAAAAAATATTTAATTCAATGTTGCAATTCGTCCTTGCTTGAATCGCCGTGATGTGTAATAACATTCCAGCAGTTCTTTGTTCTCCAAGGTATTTAACCGTTGCCGCGCACATTACGTGTTTTCCTTTGGAGGCTTCAATCTGCCAGCAGCTAGCCGTTGGGACTTTCGGTGGCTTCGTGCAAGGTTAAAAGGTTCTCAGCGCACGTATGACTCGCGTGCGCTGAATCCCAATAAAGACTAATCCATAACCACGAGGCAGGACAGGCTGCTCACCAGCAGCACCACCCCCCCCCCCCCCTCTGTAAATCACCGTGCGTTTGTGGAAATCATCGTAAATGCACGAACGCAGATTATTCATTTTTCAACGAAGAGCTTGCGCGCAGCGGAAGGCGAAAACGTAATTGGCTTGCCGTTCGCGACGACCAAAGAGTGGCCGCAGCTGTGCCCCAGGGCGGTGCATCTCGGACAGCGACACAAAGCAACACACGTCGTGTTTTGGCCTTCACGGGGCCTTAATCGGACATGTCACTTTGATCCCCCTGAAGGGGCCCCGTGCCATCTGCGTTCGGAGCCCAGAATCTTTTTTTTTTTTTACACGCGGCTGCGTCGCTGACCCGATGCACCATCGCCGCTCGCGTGCAAAAAAAAAAACACATTGCCGGCGTGGCGAATGCATCTTCATGCGGTGAACGGAAAGAGCAAAAAAAAAGTGTGGGCTCATCTCGGGGGTCTGGGAATCGGAACTCGACGTGAGAGCCAGGACGGGGAATTTGTTCCCTGTCATTGGGCATCACTCTGCCCTTTTCTGCGCGTTCCAGAAAAAATAATAATAATGCCGTGTCTGGAGTAAGTCTGTGCGTGTTCACGGTTATAGTTTGTTTTGCTTCAGCAAAACGTCGCCCCCGCTCAGAATATGCCCGCGTACTTTCTGTAAACGTGCGCATTTCGTGTAAATTGAAATTCACAAAATGGTACAGTTGGCATTTTACTCTTCGCAGGGTTTTTTTGTGCGTTTGTTAGTGAAACCCGTGCAATCACAAATACAGTAGTTGCCCTATTGGTTGTAAATCATCTCCGTCAGGCCATTTGCTTGAGTCATAATGGCCCCAAGGCAGAGTGTGAAGTGTGGTGACTGTTTATTTATTGTAGATGTAATATATGTGAAAGTCAAACTCCAAATATAAATAGGTGGCCTTTAAAAGCACCACCGCATTGCATTCCCTGAAGTCAAAGTTTCTCCTATTGCTCACTTGGCACAATTGAAAAAAAAAGCATGCGGCGTATATCCAATCTACCAAAAGCCACTCAAATATTCTCAAACTACGCACTTCAAATAATGGTATATCCTGAGCAAACATTTGCATAAAGAGCTGCAGTGTATTGCATCATTGTGGCTACATTCGACATAGAGGAAATGGCAAAATACTCTTAGGTTTTTTTCGGTAAAGTCACGTAGGTAAAAATAAATAATAAAAATTAATAATAAAAATAATAGAAATGATAATAGAAATAAAATAATAAATCACGACGTTTCGGGCGCAACACAAGTGTCCGTCATCAGGTGGACAACCACCTGCTGTCCGGGCGTTGCTTCAGCTGCTGTGGTTGTCCCACCTGATGACGGACGCTTGTGTTGCGCCCGAAACGTCGTGATTTATTATTTTATTTCTATTATTATTTAAAAAAAATTTTATTTTTTATTTTTATTATTTACTTTTACCTACGTGACTTTACCGAAAAAAAACCTAAGAGTATGAATCCTTGCAGTAACGAAAGCTTCAAATATAGAAATGGCAAAACATTATTTCGGGACAGTCTGGGGGGCCTGCCCAAACAGCACAGAAAAAGGGACCGTGCATAAGAAACTGCGGCGGCGAAAATTTCATTGTCCAAAGAAATAACTATCGGCACCTGTTTAATTTATTTATTTATCTTTACGCACTCTGCGACCCCCGCGGTCAATCCCGCCCCTAAGGGTCGGCCGCCTCTGACCTGCAGGTCGATTGCCGAGAGCTTGCCGCGCTGCTTGGCGTGCCGGGTGTACTCCTCGAGGGTCCACGATGGCTGACCCCGGCGTTGGCCGTCCGCTTCCCCGCCCGGACCCGCCGGAACCTCCCGGTACAGGGGGTTGCTCTTCATGTGCGCACGCAAAGTGGAGGCGGAGATTCGGCCTCCGTACACCTGCTGAACGAGCGCCTCGTCCGCTTGCACGTTGTCCGGCTTCGCCGAGAAGGCATAGCCGACCTCCATCTGCGAGAGAGAAAGAGAGATGAAAGATGACGGCGCTATGAAAAATGCTGGGGGTATGGAATGAAACGGGCGTCATCAGGGCGTGGTAAGGTAATAAGCGGGCCCATCCAACCACGGCTTAATTTCAGCCGGAGCTGGTCCAAGTCTGAGCTCTGGATATTGTGTCCACACACCCAGCACACTGCATCCAACACACCAGTGACGTGCGGTGAGGTCAATGGCTGAGGAAGCACTGGCTAGTGTCAGAGCCAGAGTCACACACTGAGGGGAGCGTGGCCTCGCTGAGGGGGCGTGGTCTCACTGAGCACTGAGGGGGGCATGTTAGACACGTCCCCCTCAGTGAGGCAGATGTGATAGCTGCCTCCCCTGGTGCCTTTTCATTGCAGTTTCATGACGATAACAGCGAGCCTAAATATATTTATACACATACGTGAAATAAGCTACCTGGAGTATGGAAGGCGAGGACATGAAATGAAGGGGTCTACAAACATTACATTGGTGACATACTGAGATAGTAACAGGCACGCGCTGATTGCCCGCCCTCCATCCAGTTACTGAGGGGTTGCGCAATCAGAGGGGAGGCTGAGCTCGTCGCTGCCTCACCTCTCTCGTCTCTTCCTGTATTTGCAGCAGAGCTCTGCAAATTTGGCGATTTTGACTATAAAAATGATTGGAATCGTACAGAAATGACATTTATAACACAGATCAGTGGAAAAAAATCTTAATATTTATTTAATGATTCTTTTTTTCGTAACAACTAATTTCATTGGAGTATGTCAGGTGAGGCTCTGCCTCCCCTGCCTCCCCTGGCCGCACGTCCCTGCAGCACACCAGTGGCGTGCCACCTCCCAGTCTACGAGTGACCCAGAAAACATTCAGTGAGAAGCGATGTCCTAAACCCAACCCGGTTAAGTAAGCAGTGCCCTGCGTGAACAAAGGATCTATCGGCCCTTGACAGTCCTCTTCTTTCGTACGGCTGATGTGGATGCAGAGCAACAGCTACAATTTCACGTTCACGTGGTCAAGCCCAGCGCGTCAGGAGCATCGGAGTGTATCGCCGTGATCTCTACTTCGTATTTGTGGATCGGGCATTGCCTTGATAAGTTGTCTGGGCCGTTCTGGATGACCACAGGCGCACACTGGAGACTTGACAGCAGTCACCTTGTAATGACCCAGTAATTTCTTGTTTCTTTTTCTATCCCCCTTTGCGTTACACGTCACATTTGGTAACCACCATAACGTATTCTGTACTCAAACGTTTTGATTTCCCTTACAGCTTTGTGTCCTGTGTGGCCACAAAGGTTAGCTACATGCGGTACAAAATAAGTTAAACATACATACGTACGTAAACGATAGCCCACCCCTAAGGCTGATCCACAGTGAAACTGATTTCATAATTTCAAAGTAATTAGCTGAATCGTGGCACCAGGGATTATTTCCGTCGTAATTTTCTTCGATGGATAGAAGAATCTTGTGATAAAAATGTAGAATTTGAACAACTAGCTCAGGGATAGCAAATATAATACAGCACTGTCCCGATCTTGCTAACCCATTCATTAACAAAAACATAAATCTCTTTGTCAATACATTCATGAATGAAGGCATGCCCATGCCATTTCAGTCATGGAGGAGGGTTGGTGAAAGAGGCGCACAGGACTAGTTGATGTTACCTGTGGCCACGAATTTAAGTCAGATCAACCAGATCCCATAGACACTCCACCACTGCGCCACTGCTCATTCAACGCGACACCACGACTGAGAAACTCTGACACAAATACCTGAATGGGGCCCGACTGACCGTCGCCGTACCGCTCCCGCCGCTCGTACTCCCTCCCGGGCTCGTACACGTACAGCCCGCTGGTGACCAGGTTGCTGTTGTTGTTGCCTCCACCTCCCATTCCAGGACATCCGCTGATGTTGCTGCACCCAGCCACTTTCTCCACGGCACCAGATCCATTGACAGCTCCAGAAATCATGCCGCAGCCTCCTCCGACAACGCCGCCACCGCCACCAGCTCCGCCACCACCACCACCGCCGCCACCGCCGCTGCTGCTACCAGATTTCCAGTCTCCGTGCGGGGAGCTCGCCATGCTCACCAGCTTGGACTCGGTGGCACTGTTGTCCTCGGCGAGGGAGCGTGACGAGCGGCGTCCGAGCAGGCTGCGCCGCAGGGCCTGCACGCGCAGGCTGTCCCCGCAGCTCGCGTCCGACGAGCCCCACTCGGTGCCGCTCTCCGACTTGGGCATGTGCGCGCGGTGGCCTCTGCTGCATTGCTGCTATGCCCGTTGGCACGCGGCACGTGGAGTGTGTGCACAACGAGACGGAGCGAACGTGGTGGTGACCGTCCAGGCAGTTCGTCCTCGGTTTAAGACGCAGCAGGCTTTCGTGAGCAATGTCATCCATAAGAGGTTTTTTTTTTTTAGTTAGATCGCGTAAATATATATAAATGTGTCGTTAAGCCCGCCACCACCCGGCACAGCCAACTCGTCAGGGTTGTCACGTGAACAGAACGTGGCCAATTCGTCACTAGTATAGCATTAGTGTGTAGAGTAGTGGTGTATAGTGTAGTGTACTAGTACAGCACTAGTGTGTAGTGTATAGTGTAGAGTAGTGTATAGTGTAGTGTAGAGTAGTGTATAGTGTAGTGTAGTGTATAGTGTAGTGTACTAGTACAGCACTAGTGTGTAGTGTATAGTGTAGAGTAGTGTATAGTGTAGAGTGGTGTATAGTGCAGTGTACTAGTACAGCACACAGGTGTGTTGGAGAGCCAAGCCACAACATTTATAATCTGAGTACGACGTTTCGCCAGTAAATGCAACTAGCTTCATTAGGCAATAGACAAATTTGGCTGTCGCCTGATGAAGCTAGTTGTAATGTAGTACATCTACAATAAATACACCGGCGTGCTGTACTAGTGACGAATTGGCAAATTCTGTTTACGTGACAACCCTTACTAGGTGGCTGCGTCGGGTAGTGGCGGGTTTTATGACACATTTATATATTTACGCGATCTAACCCAACTAAAATATCTTATGGAGTTCCTCTATTGAATGTCTTCAGTTTGTTCAAAATAGCAATGTGTGGGACAGATAGTTATCGTCATATGCTTTGGCCTGCATTGGGTTTTTCTGTTAAAGGGCAGCGATGATGCTCATGACGTGATTTTAGTCTGTGTTCAGAGGAAATGTGTTTTTTGGATGAAGAATATTTATGCTGTACCTTAAATGTGACCTGTAACCATTTAAAGTGTTAATGAATATGCTAGCATTTGTCATGGAAGCGAATATTTTCATTCAATAATTGTTTGAAAATATGTTTTGATATGCAGGGAGAGGCCGTTTTAGCTTACATATTGTCAAACTTTCAACAGAAAGTTAGGCATGGTTGATGGACCTAATTAAACAAAACGAGTCATTTCAATATGAATATATCACCAGAATTAGTCAGCAGTTTTAGTAATGCATTGCACCGGTGGTGTTTTTTGTGTGGAAAATGAGTACATAATATGAACGGTCTCCTGACTTTTTATAAATGGAGTTGTTGCATTTAAAATTTACCAATTTTGTGTTTCACTTCAACCCCCGCAGCTCACGCCTTGTTCTGTTAGCCACCAATTGATTTGTTATAATGAATTGGGCCAAAAGTGGACTGGGTAATGATCCTTTTTTTTATAGCGGTCTTTATGACGAAGTGAAGACGAATCTTTCCACTTAATTAATTTCACGTGTAATGTTTTAAGTGACTGCCACTTCCAAGCGCGTCATTTTTCATCTGCAAAATATTCATTGGACTGGTGGCAGCGTTGGGATCTGACGTCAGTATCGGCATCCGCAGTTGTCTCTGAATGAAATTAAACGCGCGGTCTATATTCTGCCTTTACATTGTGTGACAAAGGCACGCATTGATCCATCCACGTCTCAACACAGGCCAATGTGTATAGCAAACGCGCAATGTAAATGTTGTAATATCTTACACTGTCAAAAATAATCCATTAAGTGGTGCATTCAAGTATAATTTAAGTTATCATTTGGAAGATAATTGATATTCTTATACATTGCAAATAAGACTAGATAAATATTACTTCTAAAAGGTGTTGTCAATTTTAAAATGTAGCATTTTGGCCATAACTTTGACACATACTGGACTATTTTCGTGAATGTTTCACTGATGATTCGGTGATGCTATGTTGGCGGTGGTGCACAAGCACACATAACAAAAAAAAACATCAACACACATAAGTCCAATAACACTTTCTTTGGGAAATGGCCCTTCTCCATACCACATATCGATGAGTTATCGACAAATGAATATTAGGCGTGTAGTGATGCTTGATTATCAATACATACTTTAGGTTTCATAATATATGCCTATATTTATAATTGCATATTTAACAGTATTTTATTAAGGTTTTTGAGAATAATATGCAAACTATGCTATGCTCTTATTGTATTAGTCTAATGGCTTGAATTAAACTCTAAACAAAAAGATGGAATATAAATTAAAAACAATACAAACGAGACAGTAAAAGCAAGACAAGAATAATGATTTTAGTAAATCGAGCCTTGGGGATGAATAGATGCAGTTCATTAGGGGGATAAATCGTCTCCACCCATCAGGAATATTCTTACAAGACGACTCACATTCACAAACGGCAACCAGTAACACTGTGATGATTCCATGTCGACATTATTATTATGCTCGTTCCCCAAGGAAAGCCACAATATTTCTTTGCGCAGTGCCGTGCGAAGTTTTCACAGTAGGGGGCGATGATTGAAACATAGCATTGTAATCCCAATTCAGTACTGTAGTGTATGCAAATTTCCGGTACAGTAATTGTTCAAAGTTGGACCACACAATGCTACTCTTACGAAATGACGGTGAACACGCCCGCAGAGTTAAAGCAGTGCTGCCGCTCTATTCGAGTCGTGAACTTCTGCGACAGGACGAGCTCTGTCGCCTCGCCCCTCCACATTGCGCGCTTAATGGGGACATAGGAACCGTGAGCTTCGTACTCATCAGCGAGCGCATTGACCACCCAGCGACCATTAGGCTTACCTGTCCATTTTCTTGGTTCTTTCGGTAAAGTCACGTAGAAGGAAAATAATAAAATAATAAAAATAAAACATTATATTGTATTATTTTCCTTCTACGTGATTTTACCGAAAGAACCAAGAAGATGAATCCCTGCAGGCACGAAAGTTTTAAATCGAAATTTACCTGTCCATTGTTGTCGTATTCTTCACCTGGCTTTTCGTCGGTGGGAGACTGCAGACACGGCAGGGCCTCCTGAACGAGCTTCTCGTCCAGCTTGTTGAGCTTGGCCAGGACTTCAGAAATCTCGGCGCGCACGCCGGTCAGCGTCTCCAGCTTCCTCTCGATCTCGCCCATGCGAAGCACCAGCTTGCACACGCTCACCTTCAACTCGTCGTCCGGCTCGCTCGCGCCGCGCTGGCGAGAGACGCGAGACAGCTGGGTCTGCTGTTTGCCCTGATGGTTATTGTTGTCTTTATGCTTTTGCTGGTCTCTTTGCTTCTGCTGCTGCTTGTATTCCTGCTGCAGAAGGTGGACCTCTTGGAGCAGGTGGTGGTCCTGCTCGCTGAGGGATAGGCTGCCGAGCGGCGTCGGCTGCTCCGCGTGCTTGCGCGGCGTGCACTCGGGTGTGCAGTCGGAGTCGGATTTCAGGTTGCGAGCCAGCGAGTTGCAGCTGTCGTTGCGCGAATGCATGGGGCCGGTGCCCGAGTCGCAGACGCTCACGTCGTCTAGAAAGCGAAAGATGTCGCTGATGTTATCTCGGAATCCTTCAGAGCCTTCTTCGTCCGAGTTGGAGCGCTTCTCGCCACCGCCACTGGCTGTGCCGGAGGCGCCGTCCACGGAGCCCGACAGCCCGTCACTGCTGTGCTTGCTGGCGTTACTGGACGGGGCAGATGGGGTGGACGGGCTGCCTCCGCCGTTGTTTTGCTTGCAAGCAGCCTCTGTTTGCACGCCTATGCTGTGCATGACCGATAGCGCACTGCGCTCTTTGCCGTCCCCTGCAACGGAGCCCCCCAGTTTGGATTTTGTGCTTCGGCTGAAGGAATTGCCGACCTGCACTCCTTTCTGCTCAGAGTTGCCCATAGCTGCACCCAGTACCTTAAGGGTGCCGCTTTCATCCACGGCAGCAGCAGCAGCATTGCCGTCGTAACAGCATTCGTGGATGTCTATCCGTGGGATTCCCTCATGCGCGCCGTTCGCCGTCAGCCTCGTCTCAGATTTACTGCCGCCGCCGCTGCTGCCTTCCGATGCGCCGTCCCCTTCGCAGCCTCGCGTGCACGCCGTCGCAGAGCCGGCGTCCTTGCTTCTGGAGCCCGAGTCCCCGACGTTCGGAGCTCCTCGGCCGGAGCTGCCCGCGGCCCCGATCCCCTGTTGAGGAAGCGCTCGGTTGGACACCCCGGCGGTGCTGGCTCCCTGCTGAACCCCGCGGACGGTGCTGTCCGCGGTGCTGAACGTCGAGCGCGCGTTCGCCTTGACGGGCGACGTCTCCCTCGAGTTGTTGTCGGACGAGCAGCACTCCACGGAGCGCGAGAACGTCGCGTAGTACCTCTCCTCCCACTCGGCGCCCACGTCGCGCCCGCCGGCCTCCAGGTATCCGCGCACGTACTGCGCCAGGTCGCGCTGCCCGCCCGCCGCGTCCCCGCCGCGCAACCGCCCGCTTGCTGCGGTCGCGGCGGTGGCCGGGGGTCGCGCCGAGGACTTGCAGTGAGAGTCTCCGTAAGGAGCTGGGGCCTCGACTTTGGCCAGAGCCAGTGGGCTTCGGGCGTCCGTTCGGCCGTGCGAGCGGAAAGCGGTGGCGCGTTGGGCGCCGCGCCGGGACGGCAGGGTGTTGGCGGTGGGGTCTCCCTCGCAAGTCGGTCCCAGTCCGGGACCCTTTGCGCCACTGTTGTTGCTGCTGCTATTGCAACGGCTCCATGCCGCTATGGCCGCGTCGCGTTGGCCCGCGTGGTGGTGGTGCTGGTGGCTGTGGTGGTGCGGCTGCTGCAGCAACTGCTGCTGCTGTTGCTGTTGGTGGTGGTGATGGTGGTGTTGCTGGTGGTGGTGGTGGAGGCGGTGGCTGTCGCTCATTATGGAGCCCCCCTTGTCAACAGCAGCGCCCGGGAGTTGGTAGCTCATGGCGTCGTGGGCACTTTCATTTGTTTGCGCGGAAGCCGCCGTCCGGGCCGGGAGGAGGGAAGCGAGAGGAGACCCGAGGAGGAGGAGGAGAGGATTGCTCGCTTGGAGTGGTGGCAATTACGGTCCTGCGGAGGGCGGATCGCAGCGAGAGGAGCTCTGGGAGTGGCCCTGCGCTGCTGGGATGGAGCGCGGGGTGGGGTTACGTGCGGTCGGGATGTGAGATTGGGCTAAAGGAGTTGGGGGGAAGCTATGACCGCAACACAATGACAGATCGACCGAGCGCTGCACGGGCACAATAGAGTGGCAGTCACACTTGCGCGACTCGTTTTCGTTCCTCCCTAGCCTTGCCTTGATGCATATTCATTAGAAATTTAATAACACCGAACTGCTGTTTAAGGTCGAGCGTGATATTGTTTTGTTGTGCGGTGTGCGTTGCATGTGCAATGACGCGTTCCCCCCGATGGCATCAGGACTGATTGAATGTAACCGTTTCTTATTTACTGTTGTATAGTTCTTATTCGCCATAAATTGATTGATTTTGTTTGTACATCGGGGCTGGCTGAAATAGACGGTTAAAGGGTACTGCTACGTGTGTGTGTTCGTGTATTTATTCCGGAGCAATTAATAGATTATATTATCATCGTGGCATTTTATTCTTGTAATGATGATGATTATAAAAATAACTCATGAAATATAGATTTTCATGAAACCAGGACATTAACATAATCGATCAATATTTCACTTCAAAGTCCCTCCTCGCCCATTCACGACTTGGTTTCGTATGTTAGAGTGGATGCAATTAAACGGTAGAGTCAAGTACTGTATTGTGTGGATCGTAGCCGTTCATTTTTGAGGTTGACAATATTGTGAACGCGATCACTAAAAGGCGAACAAATTGATTCATTCATTTCCACTGGCTTCTCGTGATTTACGAAACAGGCATAGATAGAGTGCAGTCTTCATGAGAACTCAAATGACCTGTAGCAAATTAAATCTGCCAGACAGTGGGAATTTAGTGAGAATATCTCAATCAGCGTTAATCGATTGTAATTTCACCATGGGAAGACACCTCGTTATTTTCTTTTTTGCAATGCAGTTCATTGTTTTCATTTTTTTATTTTGGCACAAAGGACAGGGCCGTGAATGATATGCCTCCTTTCACTATTTCATACGTCGTGATCTTTATTTTATTTTATTTTTTTTATTAATTTTGATGTTTTACCTACGTGACTTTACCGAAAAAAACCTAAGAATATGAATCCTTGCAGTCACGAAAGCTTCAAATCTAGAATGTATTATACGGTCGTGATATTTTTTTTTGCTGGGGATCTTTGGAACGCTATTAATCTCAGCACTGTCATTTAAGCAATTCAACTTTTGTGCAGATGCTAGGTGGATTATCACATCCCAGTATTGTGAGATGGTGGCAGCTTGGGGGTTGGGGGCAATCATCTGGCTGTGAATTGACCATGGCTGATGATGAATACAATAAATAGATGTGCAGTCACACTGGTATATCGATAGTAAACAGGTATTGTCTGCCAATTTGTGTGATGACTTTCCAACAATTACATGCCAATTTGTAATTGGACTGGAATGTAGTGAAGGTGGCCAGGCACTTTGGAGAGCTCGTGACTGCATCAAATCACTCAACCAACGCTCATGAGAACCTAGGGGTCTGGTCCAGGTAGTCATGGTCTAAGCCTGATTACCAACGGCTGCGTAAACACATTTGTTTTCTAATTAAATCTGGCTCTGAAGCTACATGATATATTTACATACCATTTTTACAGAGGATGCATGAGCATCATTTAGTCTTAGCTAAGGAAGACCTTTTCAATTGACTCCAGGAGTTTAGTAATCTGTGCTGTCATCCAGTTGCAACCATTCCCCGACATGTGTATTGTAATAATTCTAGGCTGTCAGACAATATTTAGAAAGGGCATTTCTTTCTTTTCCTGATGACGTAACTAGGACAGACACAATTTCGAGATAGAGTGTGCACAAATGAAATCTTTTTTTATTGAACTAGAGTTAACATTATTTTATTATATATCTGTGTTGGTGGGCTTGAGTGACTTGCTGTTGTTCACTTATACATCTGGAAGAAAACACAAAGCTGGTGTGTGTAACTGTGCCTTTTGTACTTATCTGTAATTTCATTTTTTCTTTAGAGACTATTAGTGGGAAGTCACTCATTCTTCTTTGCTGCCCCCATAGTCTGGAACTCCATTTCACCACCATCCACGCTGTTGTCTCCCCACCATTCCACCCTCTTCAAATCCAGGCTCAAGTTCTTCATTTTTTCCCTCTTGGCATGACTGATTGCCTCTGTATCTATACAATAAAGAACTATGCTCAACGTCTCCGTACAGTGTTTTATAAATAAAGTCGCATCTAGATGCCATCCACATCCACATTGTATTGCATTGCATTACTACTTAACCACTGAGAAATATTTTGGAAGATATTCCCTGTTAAATGACTATATGTGCAGTCACACGGCCATGTCCCATGCAGTAGTCGTGTAGAATGAGTACAGCATCTGCACTGCGATCCAATAATACCATAATAAAACCTACAGTTGGATGGCATAAGTGACGCGAGTTGGAAATAATGGAAGCAACGGCACTGCCCGTACGTAATGTACCAATACAATATTCGAGATGGAGAGTTGTCAAGAAAGCAACTTTGTAGATATATTCTAAAGGTAGAATGATGATGATTGGACTTTCTACTCAAAGGAAAGTGTTATGTGAGACAGTGAGTCAATCTGCCTCTGCACTGCAGTTAAATGCTTGTGAGAACCCAGTGGTGAAATGCAGCCTTGAATGGTGCATGTTATTAGGAGAAATTTTATTTATTTATTACCGAGGCCAAAATACTCCATGAAATCACCTTGTGTATTAGGCGCTAGGTGGGTTATTACATTACAGGAGTGTGAGAGATGGCGATGACTTGGGGAGGCCTTCATTGAGCAGTGGATAGATCATGGCTGATGATAATAACGAAGAGACTACTAGAATGTGGAATGAAAAATGAATACACAGTTGCAATGGCTGAATTGGTATGTACACCAACTAAGAGTTATCTGAATACCAACAACCCATCTCAGCAGATATGTCAAAATATTATTTTGCCAATCCAGAAGAGGATGGACAAACGACTGTAATTTAACATTCAGTATTTTAGGGAGAGTGCCAAACACCGGAAACACAGAAATTTCGATTTAAAGCTTTCCTGACTGCAGGGATTCATCTTCTTGTTTCTTTCGGTAAAGTCACGTAGAAGGGAAATAATAAAATAATAATAATAAAACATAATAAAATAATTCTCACGACGTTTCGGCCACAACGCAAGCAGCCGTCCTCAGGTGAAGAACAGGTCTGTCCTTTGTCAAGGCGCCCTTCCTCCCCTAACCCAGCTTAAATATATGTTGCCAAGCTTGGTGGTGTTCATTCAGACGCTGTCTTTCCGACAGACCTGTTCTTCACCTGAGGACGGCTGCTTGCGTTGTGGCCGAAACGTCGTGAGAATTATTTTATTATGTTTTATTTTTATTATTTTATTATTTCCCTTCTATGTGACTTTACCGAAAGAACCAAGAAGATGAATCCCTGCAGTCACGAAAGCTTTAAATCGAAACCGGAAACACAGCTTAGACAGAATTGTAATCGTTGTGGTGACTCGCCCTGTATACCAAGCCTTAATTACATTAGATTAAGGTTCATTTGTCTGCACGCTGATTACCATAATACATTGTAAATTGCTCACAATTAAAACATCTGGTGTTTCTTGGCCACCTGATTCAAAGTTAACTATCCATGAACATCCCGCATATGCTAATTCCAAAGCAGGACTTTCAAAGTCACATTTTTAATTTTAGTCAAGATGTTCTGCATGAAAAAATCATCTCCATCAAAATGAATATTGCTTCAATGTGGTAAGGCTCACGTTGGGGATATATATATCTATCAAAGAGACCTAAGCGGTTTTTTTATGCAACAGGAGTGTACGGATATCCCCATTGTATTTTGGCACTGCAGTATTTAATATAAAACAAAATTGCAAACTATTGGGTCAATATATACACAACAATTGGAGTGGCATTTATGAATACAGTAATTGATCTTATGATTTCCGATAATGCTACTTTATTATTCTTTTTTGAAACGTGGATGTGACTGCTGGAAACATTTAATGAAATTAATGATGTGGAAGGCTTTCTCAGAGACCGAGAATCGATACCAATTCACACAAAAAAATCACCCACAGCACTACTGCCACTGTTCCTGCCGATCACGGTGACAAAAAAATCACACCCAGCTTTATCTTGGCCACGCTAATGCACATGGCCCGATATTGGTTGCATCGCGAAACAATAAAATTGACAATTTGATTAGAATGTTCACGATGTGTGCGATAACAGTTACCACTGTGTAATGCCACAAATGTCGCATTAATTATTTTAAATTAACCATGCCACATCAGGGCATCGCATAGAATAAGCGCAGTCAGTGAAAAGTTACTGAAAACCATTTCCTTTAAAAGAAATTGGTTCTCATTTGAGACCCCAGTATCATTCAAACACCAGACATTCTGCATTTGTGTTGGCAAAGTTTCTCGACTTAATCTATTGACTATGCTCACTGCATGGTAATTGAATGAGCATAATAAATGAGTTTCAATACTCAGGATGTGTGTGTGTAAGTGTTCTTGTTATGGAGGTGTTTGTTATTTTCTCCAGATTTTGGATTCCATCTCTGTGGCTATTAAAAGCCAGTTTTCCCCCAAACCTCACAAAGAAGGGAGAAACAAACAACATATGCAGAGGAGTAGGCAAAATACTCTTCAGATGCGTTCTCTTTGGCCTTTTCTACAGCAGTGGCATAAGCAAGCAATTGCACGGTTGCGCCTTTATCTCTACGTATACAGATGCTGGCGGCTTTGTGACTATACATTTATGTTAACCTAACAACACCACAGGCTGTATTCACCCATAAAGCAAAAATATATGGCAGACAGTTAATGAGCTGTATTTCGTATTGATTTCTGTATGATTGTATTGTTTGTTTTAATAACGAAACATTCATAACGTTTCTGCAGTGCCGTGTACTTATCCACCATAACTGTTATAGT